CAAGGATATATAAAGAAAGGACGGGCCAATTCACATTCCGTCTGCTTTGCTGCCAGCCCTAGTGCAATTTTTATGCGTGCAGGGTATAAAAATTAATGTGGCAAAGGCACTTGAATACTCGTATTCGCATTCCTATTCGCATTCGCATTCGCATTCGCATTCACATTCATATGAGCATTTGTTATGACTGACCTGTCAATCGAGTGCTGCAGAAATATAACTTACAATCCATTTAATACAAATAACTCGCTGTGTTATGGGCTAGAAGGCAGCAGCAGCAGCAATGCGACAAAGTTGCCAAAGCAAATAGTTTTGTTGGCAAGTGTAGAAGGTGCATAGAAGCAGCAGCAACTGGAATATACAAAAAAGGTGTAGCATACGCGCAGGCTGCATCGTTTTAGGGACAGCCGCCGCCGTGAGGCTAAAGCAAAGTAAAAGATGAACACAGAAATGCAGCAATAAAACTGCAACAGCATGAGATATAAACGTTGCAGCAACAACAAAAGCAACACACACACACACATACATACACAAGCACACACCAGAGCACACACAAACACAAAGTTAGAGAGACATTCATTCAGATAAAAAGAGTCGAGTTACACCTACAAGTCAGCAGGAGGCGCGGATTTGGTTAGGTAAGTTTGATGGCGTGGCGGAGGGGCTGGGTGGTTTGTGGGGTAGTGTGAGAGGTGCTCTGGCTATCGGTCTATCTCTGTCTGGCACTGCATTAGCAGCCAGCTGTGAACGAAATAAACGTAAAAATATACGTAAAAATATTTTTAGTGTGAACAATTCCGCAAAAGCGAGAAGCGAAAACTGAAATGCTGAGAAAACTTTTCGCTAGGCATTACACACGAACGCACACAGAAAGAGACGCACGCACACACAGGCACACACACACACACAAGTGCACAAGCACACATATACAGCTGACAAGATAACAGACACACACACACATACACACACAATAAGTCGTGTTTAGTTAGGAAATGCTATGTGTGCCAAAAAAAGGCAGCCAAAGGCAGTTTTTCTTGTGTATGTGTGTATGTGTGTGTGCGTGTGTGTGTGTGTGTGTGTGTGCGTGGGTGCGTGTGTGTGTGTGGGTGAGTCAGGTGCTGGTTTTGCAGTCAGTTTTGTAAACAAACAAAGACAAAGGGATTTTCAAAATAAAAGCCAAGGAATGCAATTTCAACATATCAAATACATATATTTAATGCCATTGTTCCCCTAATGCAGTCAATATATTCAGGGATTAAACAAAACAATGCAATAATAAAACAAAGTATATATATATATACTAGCGGGTATAACCCGGCCTTGCCCGTGGCATGTATGTTATAAAATTAATGTTTTCAAAAAGCTTTGAAAATGATTTTGAAACTGATCGGACGGGAATCAAACAAACTTAAAATTCACCAAAAAAAACTTTGAAATGCATTTTCCACCGAAGGAGTTTAAATTTTGCGAAAAATGTGAAACACGTCTCAAATGATTTTTCTTATAGATCTTTGGAAATAAATTTGAGCACAAAACGTCATCCACCAAGGAGGGATAGATTTTCAAAAAGTATGAAACACCCCTCAAATGAATTTGAACGTAGATCTTTGAAAATGAGTTTGGGGCCGATCGGATGGTAAACAAAAAACTTTCATACAACCGTTTTCCGCCAATTTACTACTGTTGAGGGTGGAATTTCCCAATTCGATGAAATACGTATTCATTAAGTTCTTATGGAGAGCTTTGAAAATAAGTTTGAAGCAAATCGGACACAACTTAAAACTTCGCCCAAAATATCTTTGAATCGCATTCCCCCCGAAGAAGTTTAAATTCTGCGAAAAGTGAAAAACACGTCTCAAATGAATTTTCATATAGATACTTGGAAATAAATTTGAGGGCGAAACGTCACCCACCAAGTTTTTGACCCCCATTTCCACCAAGGAGGGATGCATTTTCCAAAAAGTGCGAAACACCCCTCAAATGAATTTGAAAAAAGACCTTTGAAAATAAAATTTGAGGCCGATCGGGTGGTAAACAAAAAAGTTACATACAAACTTTTTTCGCGATTTTACCACACTTGCGGGTGGAATTTCCCGAAACCCCGTCTTAACGTGCAGTTACATTACATAAGGTAACTACAGTGAAAATTTCAGCTTCCTAGCTCTTACGGTTTGGGCTGTGCTTTGATCACCAATCAGTCAGTCAGTCAGGCAGTCAGTCAGTCAGTCAGTCAGGACAAACAGTTTTATATATAGAGATATATAGTACAAGGTAGCTTGCCATTTCGTACCTAATTGTCTGCATACATCAAAAAGCTAACACACACGCCGCAAACACTTTAGATAGCGTTCACCTCGGCTTGTGCCTTTTCCAGTTCCACATGATGAAAAATGTACTTTTAAATAACTTTTGTGTTAATTGTACGATAATTGTAGGATTTTTGGTCCCATAGGATGGCATTGAAATGTGCGCATATTTATATATGTATAAAATAGGGCATATATATTTATATAAGAGAGCCTACGTAACGAATGTGGTGTCTCGAGCACTTAAAGCTTCTGATGACTATGAACAGATCGACTTGGCTATTGATGATCATTCTACACATTATGCTTGTATTGTATTCTATTCTGTTCAAAAGTATTTCTCTTTATTTCAAACACAATTCAGATAGGCTATAGCTGACAGCGTTAAAGCTTTCAAAAAGCAAGCAGACGTGCCGACAAAGATAGTGTCCCACATGGGGACAACTGGCATCCAGCTCAGAGTAGAAGCAGCTGCTAGACGAGCTTTGAATATGGTTTTAAGCACAAATAAGTTGAGAGTTTATGTACGGCTGGCTCTGAAGTTCGTATAAGTGTGATACACGAACTGCTTGTGGCTCATAAAAAATCGCGTTGCATACTTTTGTGGGCTGGCTGAGTGTGTGGTTTTGATTTTAGCTGTTGGCCCGCACTTGACACTTTTGTTACGGCTTTACGGCCATTTTGCATGCCACAACTCGGTGGCAGCCTCGCAAACTAGTTGTTGCTGTTGCTTTTGTCTGCGTCTGAAATTAACAGCATTTATTTCATTGCATTTTTATGCGCCTCATTGCGGACGACATTGTTAACGTCGTCGTCGTCGTCGTCGTCGTCGTTGTCATTGTCGTCGCTCGAGTCTGTGCCTGGGAAAACAAAGGCAACTTATTTTTATGCTATGCGCGTCAGCGGCAGAGGCAACAGAGACACAGAGAGAGCGAGATAAAAAGTGAGAGAGAGAGAGAGATGGAGTACAGTCAACGCCCCTCTTCACCCACATATGCAGGGTTAAGTTTCATTTTTATGCGCTTTTGTTAACAGCAGCATCTCGTTCTGGCCATTTTTAGTTGTTTATGTTGTTGTTGTTGCCGTTGGCAACTGTCATGCAAAGTTCGAGTCTAGAGTTGACCTGAAATGTGAAAAGTGTGAGCTGATTGGGCGTGTTGTTGTGTTATATTATGTTTTGTGTGTGTGCCCGTGTCTTCATTATTCGCTGTTAGCCATGGCAATGCCGGTCTCTCAAATTGAACAGCCAGCTGGCCACGCCCACAGTTCTGCTGCTATCAAGCTTTGCCAGAGTCATCAAAGTGTCGACTGTCAGCTTAGTGTTGGATATCATGCAAATTGCACAAATGTTCCACACTCTAACACAAACACACACATACACACACATATATACAAACACATTCGGAGCAAATGAATTGTCAACAGAGAGAAACGTAATCCATTATGCCAGATGGATGCATCTACATGCAACTGATCAATCTGAAAGCCATGTCAGTCCGTCAATCTAGCTTGGGTTTCGTGCAATATACAAATGTTTTGATTGTCATTCCCACAATTAATGTATTAGAATATTTTATTTATAGTCCTCTATAAATACTAGCAGATAGCCTGTCGACACTTTCAAATTTCCTTTACATAAATCCGTATTGATACATAAATATGCATATGAATATTGGCTGCAGGGAGATGGATAGAACTAAAGAGGTAGAGAGCAGAACAGTAACAAGAGGAAGATGGAGAAAAGAGAGGACGAGTGCGAAATAGGATAAGAGTAAAAGCTGACATAAATCTCTTTTAATTGCCAACAAAACTAGTTTAGATAACACTTAAACCCTGAAAGTCTTACTTGAATTTATAAGAGCCGCGTAGTAGGGCACAAAAATATTTTTCTTCAACATTTGCAGCGCACTCAAAAAAAACACAAACACATATATTTGCATACATACCTACACACACCATAAATACATACATAATTACACGTACTTATATAATATTAACATCCTTAGATAAATGCATTTGCATAAGCCCATATCTATACACAAACATACATACATTCTGATGTCCACAGAAACGTACATAAGCCACCAAAACCTATAATGAAACCAGTCAAAACATTCTTGAATTCATGAGAATCGCATAGAAAGGTAACATATAAAAAGACGTTATTTTATTTAAATATGCAGCACAGCGAAAAGCGAACGTGATCTGTGATTGGTACAAGAGATCATACATGCATACATACAAACATGCATACATTCTTACATAAATATATACACATAAACATACATATACGTACATACATATATACAATAATACACACATAGACACAACCTATCCCTCGCCTAACTTATTTATCTAAGTATATAATAATATTCCAAAAGTTGAAGTCTAATCGACTAATAGTATATTCGAGAAGGGGATCCGAGAGGAAATAGAAACGGGAGCAAGGAAAGCTTATCAGCATTCGTAATCTGCTAATCTAAGCACTTGACTGTCGGAATACCCGATAGGCCGACCAGGCATAGTATCAGCTCTTCGGACTAACAAACTACCACAAAAATAGTCCAAAAATTAGTGCTGACTGATGTTAGAAATAATTTTGAATGAAATTAATAGTCTTTGCGAGAATTGTCGCAAATTTTTCGTAATACTTGTTATAGTTTTTGTGTCTTTTTGCTGTTGTTGTTGATTATTTAAAGAAATATTATAAAGCATATTAAAAAACTTATGGAAAAGTTTTGAAAAAAAAACTTGTGAAACTTTAAAGTTTGGCACTAAAAAGCAATAGCAGTCAAGTGCAGCCAAAAGGTGGAGCTTCAGCAGTAACAACAGCAGTAAAAAAGCAGCAACAGCAGCAGTAACTACAACAACAACAACAAGAGCAGCAAACAACAACAAGAGCAACAACAACAACGACAACATGGGAAAAAAGAGCTCGAAATTGAAACAGGATACCATCGATCGTTTAACAACCGACACATACTGTGAGTATACAACCATCCATCAAGAATATTCACAATAGTATAATAATATTTTTGGGGGCCTAAAATAATTATTTGATTGCCATTTTTATTTTGCCCAAAATTTATAGCTCGCATCAATCAAAATAAACAATTGGAATGCTACACAAATCTTGTAGCACTTGTGGCACTTAAGAAGCTCTGTGAAAAATAAAAACCATTTATTTAGCTAATTTGCCGTATTTTCCAGTGCCTATTCAAATGGCCTGGCACTCAATGCTTGACTAAGAAAACGCATAGACCTTACCTTACCAAACAAAGTTGAGTTAAGTTGCCTGCCGCCTGTCAAGTGCTTATATTATAGCATATTATTTGTTGCCTTCACTTAGCCGAACAGCGTTAAGAGTTCGCCTTTGTTGCACACTCTTTTGAGGCATTTATCTGTTAGAGTTGTGGGCAGGCCCAATAGATAAAATCTGAATCGCTGTGCATTATGTAAAAGCGCTGAGTCTGAGTTGCCACAACAACGCCAGCAAGGCTAATTTCACTTTGTGTCCGCTTATAATTCACAACTAGTTTAAGAGCTGAGTTAGTCAAGTTTGCTGGCAGAGGGCAGTGTGATGGTAGCCAGGACAGCTGGTCGTGCTGGATAATTCCAATTCAACTTAACTTATTATGCTAATGAGTCCTGTTGCTCTTGCTGCTGCTGCCACGGCTAAGCTGGGTCTTGTCTCATTTTTTTTAAATACCCTGTAACCATAAAATTGACATAAAGAGGATTTAATGCGCAAACAGAGAAGTGCTTCCCAAGTTTCATTAATAAGCTTAAGAGTTGTCAAACAAGAGAGAATGACAGATGGACGCATAGACTGGAATCAGGAATATAAGTATATACGTATATACATATATCTGGCATATGTGGGTCGGTTCGACTTTTAAAGTCATGTGTAGAGGACATATTTAAGATGCGCCGCAGTTTTAAATAGAATCTTCTTGCTTGTTATATCTGTTTATAAGAACTTTATTTTTATTTCTAGTTTTATTCTCTGTGGGCTGCTTAAAAATGCAAGTCACCAAGTTTGCGCCTAAAAACTTTGTTGACTAATTGCTTTTTAAAGTATTTTCGTATTTCGTGCTCCGCTGCTGCTGCCTTTTGCGGTCCAAGCGACGAAGGCGACAGACGGGAATATAAATAATTACGCCGCCGGGGGGCATTTGGTGCACCTGGTTGGGCTTCAGCCAGAGTAGCTGCTGGCGCCCTCAAAGTGTTGACAGATTGCTGCCAAGTTGCCAGTTCTTCATGTCCTGGTCCAAGCAATTTGTCTTGCGCCCCTTGAGTCGTGCCTGCCCTTCGTTCCCGTGTCCTTGCTTTCCCATAAAAAATAAATAAGACACACACATACACAATTTCTTGAATTCCACTTTACACTTTGCTATGCAGCTCAATAATATCTCCAATACTCTAGCTTAATACTTAAAGCTGGGTATATATGGCTGGCTAATAAATATTTCATTTAAAAGGGCTAGAAATGGCTTTGGCAAATGAAGAAGAAGCTAAATAAGTTTAAGCCGTGCTGTGTGCTGGCTTCTTGGAGATTTTGTCTTTTGTTCGCCAAACTCAAATGCAATCAAATGCAATTTTGGCCAAATTTCTTGGAACATAACTTTCTCATAAGCTGGCCACGCACTTGGCTTAAAGTTTGCTGTGCAAAACTTTGGCCCAAGACGTCATTCGAAAATTTCAAATTACTGTCTGTACCTGATAGCAGTTGAAACAACAACAAGCACACCAACAACAACAATAGCAACAACAACGCACTACATTTTAGTTATTCGCCAAACAAATGAACTGAAAGTCAATTTATGAACGTAGTGGGACAACGGGTCGTATGCTCGATATGGAAAAGTTTCAGCCTCGGACACGTTATCGCGGCTAGCTATTTATGCTGTTCATTGTATTTGCCAGCTAGGCAATCAAATTACACAAATACATATTGTGCTCACATATCGTACATATATATTTCTGCATATCTTTGGCTGCACGGACCACGTAGAGGCAGAGAGCCCCACGAATGAATAATAAATAGCTGGGAATTTGATTAGTTTCGGATGGGTTTCGAAAATCGAATGACCCCCAGCAATAAAGTGCAAATCCCAGAATTGTGTGTATAAAATAGATACAAATTACGGTCAACGCAGTGACGGGCAGGGCAGGGCAGGGCAGCAATCGGAAAGGGGTCAGCGTTGGGTTAGCCGTAGCCACAATTTTCCATAAATAATACGTGTGTGTGTTTGTGTGCGTACGTCTGTGTGTGCTTGTCTGTCTGTCTACCTGTCTATCTATCTACCTGACTATCTATCTGTCTGTCTGTTTGTCTGCCATGGTCTACAGGTGTTTGTCTTGTGCCATGTTTTACAAGCCTGCAAATTAGCAAGTTTAATTGATTTTATAATTGTTCCACAAACACAGCGACAGGCGCAAAGCACATTGGCACACACACGCACACACTCGCAAACAAACACCTACAGATGTGTCCAATTTGTCAAGAAGACAACAACATGGTCATTAGTTGGCCGCACTACGATTTTATCTATATTGGACATTTGTACAATGATTGCCATTGCTTATTTGGATTGAAGTTGAATCAAGATTGGGCGCCTCATAGCCAGGCTAAGCCAGGGGATTAAAGGCCTATGTTGATATAAAGTAAAAAACATGTGCAGGTGACTTGCTTTAAGTACAGAGTGGAGAGAGATTTTCGAATAATGATGCATTCGGCAATAAATGATTCATTTTTGTGCCATCTGGGAGTCATTTACAGATGGCTATCGCCTCTCTCAAATAAATTCATTCGGCTTAGAAGCTGAATTAAATTGAAATACAAATAATTTATTTAAAAATAATAAATGGATCCAAAAATGTAATTAATTTTTAAGGCATAACGAATTTGTGCACTTGATTGAATTGATGTGACATATAAATCTGAACAATGAATCAAAAACAAATCCATGAGTACTGAATTATGGCTAGCCCCTGTTATAACTCAGCTCTGCAGCTCGGTTGATGTTTTAATTTGTTGCATTGTGTCCGGCGCACTTAATTTTCATGCTGTTGACATCATAAGCCAAATGTTTGCTTTTGACATCGCCTGCAACTTGAACTAATTTATGTGCCTTCAGTGGCAGACAACAATTGTTGATATTTAGCACAAACTTAATTGCTCTAAATTTGCAAGGCTGCAAACATTAAATTGAAACTGGCTTCTGCTATTTTTAAAATTTGAATAATTTTTATACGTTGCTCTAAATAAAATGGTTGAATTTATATTATTTGCTCCACTTCAGCTTGATAGCTCTCAGCAATTAATAAAATGTGTCACACTTGGTCCGCATCACTTAATTTGATTTTGATTTTTATATATTCATTTGCAAAATGCCCAGAAAATTGCTAAAACTCTAAATTGATTTTAGTTAGAACAGTTTTCAATTTTAATTTAATTTGTTAGTCCGAGTTTAATGCTGTCATATGCTTTATATATCCAGCTGTGTTGCATAATAAGTACTTAAAAAAATTAAGTGCAATCTGTAGTGTGAATAAGTTCTCTACTATTGATATACACCTAAATCGTTTTGCAACACTTGTGCATAAACGTCTTTATAGCTACTTTCAAGATTCCAATGGCTGGAGCACAAGGGATATAAACTCTGAGGTTGAGTAAGCTTAGAAAGTTGTTTATTTCGAGTAGAACCAAATTCTCTTTTCTTGTGCAACTGGTTTGGTTAAAATATTGGAGTTCTACCATATGTTCGAACGGGTTTGGTCAAACCTGCTTTGCTAAACGTTTTTTGTTCTCAATGAAATATGTCTATCTTCCTACGCTCCTTCGGGAACTTATTGCGACAGCTGTACACACTGTTTTTGACTGTACTGTACTTTTGATTCAGTTGAAATTGTCTTTAAAACTGGTAACACACCTGGCGAAGCGGTTAAACCGTTTAACGTTTACACAAATGTTGCCCAATAGTCAAATAAATGTAGATAAAAATATTACAAAAAATAAGCAAAAACAAAATCGGAAACGTTTCCAGTCTTCACACAGACAAAATGCAATTAAAATCGCGTTGTAAGCACACATATTGATGGCGGCGATTACACAAATATTTCATGTAGCTGCTGCCCATGCCCGTATATCTCGTACATGATACATTCCCGATATCTATAGATATGTACGGCCGTACGCCCAGGAGTGAGGCACATGTGTGCGTGTGTGAGCGTGTGTAATACGAGGCATGGCAATCAGAAATGCAGCGCGGCTCTCGGATTCGCATGGGGCGCGGTTCTATTTGAATGCCAGCGACAATTGCCGCGGAATTTTCAATGCCCCATCAAGTGTGCAGCATGCGCCCGCCTGGGATTGGGTTTTTGATTGGGTCTGGGTGGCGCACGTAGTCCATGGGCCTGGCAACTGCCGCCCCAGACTTGAGCTCTGCCAGCCAGACAACATGCATGATTATCAATCGGAAGAGTTATTTCAACTATGCCACAACATGCCTTGCACTTAACATCAACAATTTTCATATACCGAGGTTACAGTACTTATAGCCATAGAAATAAGTTTTTGTTGTGGTGCATTAACAAAATACTCTATGCCTCAGAAAGATTCCACATTCAAAGCTTATGGGAAAGGTATTTGTATTCCAACCAAGAAGCTTCAAGCTTATTTTTAACCAATTGCCGAAACACTCATTTTGATTTTTAATTGACAGTATTTGACTTTTGAAAATGACAAAACATAATATTTGTCTTTTCTCTTCCAACTGCGATGCTTTTGCCAAAATGTACATAAGGCATCTTCAATGCATTTTATCCAAGGCTGTCAGCCGGGATTTGTACTCAGCCGGAGCAAGACCGAAACTTTATTTTATATTTTAATATGAACCGAACCTTGAACCCCAAATCAGATGTACAACAAGCAACCAAAGCCGAACCAAACCATATTTTGTTGTTTAGGAATAACAAGCTATTGAGACAGAGTCAAGGCATACGAGACTTCAGAATCAATTAGTTTATTTTAACAGGATATAACATTTAGGCAGAGAGTTGGTTCGCGCTGTGAACCGAACTAGAGAAAATGTAGTTTGGGCTTGCAGCCCTGCTTTTGTGACAAATATTTGAAAATTATCTTATCGGCTGGTAAACAAGAAATGTGTTCTCTCCACACGCTCGGCTGGAATTTTCCAAAAGAGTTGCATTAGTTTATATAAACATGATAGTAGACATATCTGATCCCATAGAGTATATGTTTATTTTTGATCGTGTTTGTCTGTCTGTCTGTCTCAGTTAGAATTTATATTTACCTTATATCTCAAAGCTGGTCTGGGAACCATCAATAATACTTCTAACTGTGCGTAATACATATTCATATGGTTGCTTTAGTGAGAATCTCTTTTAAATTTGGATTAATTTAGATCCTGCATAAAACAATTGGTTTTTGTTTATTTACTGTCTTATCAAATAGTTTAGGTATATTACATACTAGCACATTTTGGCCGCGTGGGAATCGATTGGGTTGATAACATAATTCCCATGCATCTATGAAATCGCACTACCTACTCAACCGAATGTTTGGGGCCTGGCGAAAAATAAACATATGACAGCATTGTAGTAGGCCAAACAATCAATACAATATTAATTATTAATGTATATGTATAATGTATAGCGGCCATTAATTGTTTATTCCTTTATTGGTTTTTATATAATTTTTGTTGTAAAAACACTAACAAATTATAAAAGGCAAATATTAAAGCTGACGAGTCCCACTGAAGTCGAGCCGGCGTCTTCTCGCTGGTTAGTCTGACGCACAGACGAACTCCTTTATACTTATATTTCTGGAAGAGTATCTTAAGCAGGGCATCCACAATCGAAACGTAATGCATGATGATTTTCATTTTAAAAGCGCACTTCGAATAAAAGCATGACTTGGGAAGCGGATAAAAGGAAATGTATGGCAACCATTTGGCAGTGACAGTGGCGCAACTTTATCGACTGACAGCGACAGTCGGCGGTGGCAACAAGTCGTATGAGCAATATGCGCATTATTTACAATCCACACAAAAAACGCACACACATCGGTTCGGTAAATGCTGTTGTATTTTTACATGCCTCACGTCAATAATAGACGCAATATCCAGCGGACATAAAGCCCGGCGGAATAGATAGATGGGATAAATGTGGACGAGTTGTGGGTAGCTTACGCGCTCCTTAGCCTCTCCTCTCCCCACATCCCCACATTCCCACTGGGGCGAACTGTTTGCGCCTGGCGCGCGCTATCGATTACCAATCAATTCCGTATCAGCTTTGGCAATTGTTGATTTTATTGCGTTGACGACGTTCACGGGCCATACACAAAGCGGTCGGTGCTGGGATGGCGGTCAGAAGGGGTTGCTCAGCGCGCCACGTTATTAATTAAAACACAAACATAAAAATCTGCTGCTTCAGCCATAAAAATTGAAAATTACAAGGTAAGCAGCAAGAAGCGAGCAGCAGAGAACTTCAATTTCTTTATCGACTATAAACCGAACCTAAAGCCTGTCTAAAGAAAGGCCAAACCTAAGCCAAGTCCAAGCCGTAATAGCTATCTTTAGGGCTGAAAGTGAGCATTATTTAAGCTAACTTTGGGAAATTCGACCCACAAGTGGGCTGAGAAACTTGAGCCACAACGCAGCCATATCCACGAGCCAGCGGGAGGTCGCTGTTCCAAATGGGTGCTAACAATAATAATTAAAATGTTTTGTTTGCTTTGATTGGTTTGTCAACCACAAGACTGTCATGTGAATTCCTTGGCAAGCTCCAATTAATCACTTGCCTAGGAAGGCCAAGCGACGGCACACGAAGTTTGGGGTTCGAACTCCCGTACAGACAATATATGTATTTTTGAATTTGATAAGTGTTTTTTTTTTGGTTTAGTTATTAATAATAATGCTGGCAATTCGAGGGGCTTTGCATATATATATATATATATATATATATATATATATATATATATATATATATATATATAAATATATATATATATCGATACATATTATTTGGGCACAATTTGCATTTTCAACGATAAACATTTGTAAGATATTGAATATTAATATTGAGCTTGTAATTGAGAAGATCCAAACGTGGTTGCACACATGTGAATCACCAGGTTTTTCGAATCGAATCGCCGAGAACGTTTGTGGGGCGTGCAGCTGGTCGCAGATGCGGCATTAAAGATGAACCACAATGGCATGAAAAATGACAGTGGTCGGCTTTTGGGCAGCCAGTTGAGCGTGCAAAGCAGTCAATACTCTAAGCCTCTGCTGCGCTGCGCTGCTCTGCTGCTCTGGTGCTCTGGTGTTTTGGGGCTGCGGTAGCGACCTTCCCCTGGGAGCCAGTCTGCGGCCATTGGCCTCGTCCCCGGTCCCGTTCCCGGCTCTTAACAGCAATTCCAATGTGTGTAATTTTGCGTGAATTTATGTTTTTGGTCTTAAACTTTGCTGCCGCAAGATCTCTCACTTGCCCCCAGCACTTCTCACTAGCCAGAACTTGTGGGCGGGTCGACGTAACATGTGCGCCATTCACACGCCCACAACGGTCACAGTGGGAGCTGGCCGGCCCGGCCTGGGATCGGGAGACCGTAGCTTAAACGTTTCGTAAACGGCCATTAGGCCACGGTGATGGCAACCATGGCCGAAAATAATAATAATAAGAAAAACAGAAAAAATAAATAAAAAAAAGAAATCCAGCCAGTATAAAGAAATTGTAATGCATAGAGGTCAAAATTTGTTTGTCTTGGGCGTGGTCACAAGACAATGAGTAAAATGTAAGTACACACGCGTGCACTAGCTCCTTCAGCATAGCTCATAGGTAAGGAGCTGCCGGGTAATGGGTGTGTTTTTCTAGAAGTAACACATGTGGCTTATTTTCAATTGTTTATGTGTGGAGTCTTTTAAGGAAAGGACGTCAGCTTGGGTCCGTATACCTATTTATTCAGAGATGAATTATCAACAAAATTAACTTTTGAACGCGTCCAGTTAAGTTGTTTGAAGATTTTGGGAATTGTGGGAATACGCTTTTGAAATCGACCCTAAGGCGATTCGCTCTGTTCTAAATTCGAAATTTTTCTAAGAAGTGCGAAAATGTACCTGTAAAGCTTGAAGAGCAGAAAATTATTTGTAATATTTTGAAAAATGTTCTAAAAATTCGAGTTTTTTTTTATCAGAAAATGATTTGTGGCTGAAAAGCATTATAAACATTTTCTAAATATTGGAATTATTAGATAAATTAGATAAGAATTTTTTTAACCACAAAACTTTCTGTAATTGTGAAATAATTTTCATTTTATGGCAATTATCCAAACTTTTAGGTACATTTATTATTGAGTTTTACCTGCGAGAATCGCTTTATCTCTGCTAGAAAACCTCAGTCACGATATGTGTTTGAAATTCTCAATCTGCAAGTAAATACACCCAGTTGATCCAATTAATTTTTACCTAGTATTACTTATGGGACCCAACTACTAATTTTTTACTCAATTTTAAAGTTCTCTTTCCAAAACTTGTAAAGATATTTTGTGTTAGCTTATCAAATGAGTACTCTAACCAAAGCCGAGGCTTAAGGCTTTACTCCTCACGAAGGCTTAGCTTCAATTATTCACAAATGATAACACATAAATTTACATGTTTTTGTTTATTGAGATATGTTATTAAAATGTAGACTACCACAACAACTTAAAAGCTTTACAATAAACTAATGTAAAAGCATATTGTTTTGCACCAGTTTGAGGATTAGATTCGACTCTTCTTTATTCAACTCATCCGGTTTAAGGTTCCTGACAAACAGAATATTGAAATACCAGCTTAAAGTGAGTCTGCTTCAAATAAATTTGCGGAATATTCAATATTCAATATTCTTTAAAAATAATTAACAACTGAATAGAAACATTTTTGAGTCAAAATAATAATATTAATATAATAGAAACCGTTCTATATGTGCTTAAATTTAACTTATCTCAGCTCCTGTTATTTAAATTGACATCAAGAAAGTTTAATTGCCTAAGCCCAAGAGATGCTGCAGGAATTTTGTTGAGATCTATGCCTGCCGGAGTTTTAGTATCAGCCAAATATAACTTTTATTCAAATGCAAGCGATCGGACCTCCGGTTTGAGTTGCGACAATCGAAGCTCTGGTGCATTAGTCCACAATATTGTTTTTATATTATAATTACATTCAGTATAATATTAAGACATGTTATTTAAAGTTCTTATCGCCAAATGTCTTTACTTTCTTTTTTTATTTTCCATATTACATACTGGTATTAAGTATATGGGGATACTTGTTCTTTGCACATCCGCATACTCCATTAAATGTTCAAGCATTTTAATAGACATTATTTTCCCGTTTCAATTTCAGTTACAGAAAAAGAAATACGTCAATGGTGAGTATGGAAATTGGAAATGAGCGGAAAATAAATAAATAATGCGTTCCAATTGTAAACATTTGCCAAACACAAATATAGGCACAAAGGATTTCTAAAAGACTGTCCGAATGGTTTACTCACTGAGCAAGTACGTAGCACACACACACGCACACGCACACTCACACACACACGCACACGAAGCACATGTTTAAGCTGATTCAATTCATTCAAGTCATACAGTTAATTAAGTTAATCTTCTCAATATGTGAACACTAATTTCTTGAAACAGCAACGGATCCAACAGCAACCAGAGTAGCAGCAACAACAACAGCGACACCACAGCAGTTGCTGCAGGATGTACAGATTCGCCCATCCCCTGGAGCCCTAGAGGCACATCCTGCTACCAAAATGAATGACAGGCCATTTCCAATGTGTTGACGGCAACAGTTGTTGTTGCTGTCGCTTTCGCTTTCGCTGTTGTTGTTGTTGTTGCTGCTGTCGACTGCTGTTCATATTAAAATTTATTAATGCGCGCCTCATTGAAAGACAACTTGAAATTCTCACACACACACACACACACACACACACACACACAGACACAGAGACACGGACACGAACACCTTATTGAGCCACACCCGCAACGTCCTAATTGTTTCTCATCTCTCTGCCAGGGTTTTATCAAAATCTACAAACAATTTTTTCCACAAGGCGATCCCAGTAAATTTGCATCGCTTGTGTTTCGTGTCTTCGACGAGAACAATGTGAGTATTAAGGCCATCAGCTCATGTCCTTGTGGCTGTACAGCTGCCACCCCGCCATTCCGCCACCCCGCCAACCCGCCATCCTGCAGCCATCACACAACAGTCAGCCAGTCAGGCAGTCAGCCTGCCAAGCAGTCGCTTTGACATTGATGAATTTGTACGCAACTCGAGCGCAAAAGTTGACGATTTAGGCCAATTAGCCAAAAATGGTTCGAACAGTAGAGTGAGGCACGAATTGTTTAAGGGCTGATTGTGTGTGTGTGTGTATGTGTGCCTAAATACCCTGTAAAGCGTGTAACAACAACATAAATTTAAAATTGGTAATTAATTCAAATCGAATTATGAGTATGATTTAGTTGGAATAGTAGACCCTTGGGCCAACCTAACATGTACAAATGTACAACATACTTTTTATACATGGCTGTGGCTGTGCTTCTTCTTGCCTTTGATCGACTAGTGTTGGAAAATGCATTCATGAAGAACTTTTATAAGATTTTGAGGGATTATGTTAGATATGGCATCTGAGTGTATTTATATACCACAGCGCAAAGCTTTACTTATACAATTTAATTTTTACTCTTTGGGGAAATGGGAAGGTACGGAAAAATTTAAATATTCTAGATGTAGTAGAACTTAAATACATTAATCGAATTCCCCTATATATTATAATCTCCGAGATCTGTTTAAAAATACAATGTTTCAAAAATCAAAATTAATTGATATTATCGAAATGGGGAAGATATTGAAATATACGATATATTAATACATATGATATATAGTAATATAAATACGTTTCAGATTTCTGTAGCTCTGGCAGTTTCTGAGATCGACACGCTTATACAGACAGATAGTAAGGGAAACAGACAGACGGAAAAGCAGGGTCATTGCCTTGACCAAGAATATACAGTCAAGGGATACGCTTACTTATTTAAAAGAAAAATATTCAAAAAATATAAAAAATAAAAGAAAATGTGGACTTTTCTTCTTTTGGATACAACAAAAACTTTTCATAATTAATTTAAAAAGTACATAAAGTAAACTCTAAAAAATGTAACTGTCTGACGTTAGGTCGCGTTAGTTTGGATTAGATCTAGAAGCGAGTCGTAGCTGTTATCCAGCGTCCAAGTAGCGCTCATAGAGAATTTATTAGCAAGTTACTCATCGTATCCTTGCTTTGAGGGCAACCCCGCTGGAGACTCATAAGGATTTATTTATGACTTGTGGTACAGACGGCGGCGGGGGCTAAAGCGGCAGCTGAGGCGGTGGCTCTGGCGGTGGCGTCCTCGATGGCGCCCTAAACTTGTTAGCTGTCTTGGGTCTGCACTGATTTGCTCTGCTGTCGTTTTCTCGTTCTGTTTCGCTTCTTTCTTTTGTGTTGTTTCTATTTGTGCTCCCCAGGATGGGTCAATCGAGTTCGAGGAGTTCATACGCGCCTTATCCGTCACATCGAAGGGTAACCTGGACGAGAAATTGCAATGTAAGTATTTTGCTTCTGCCTCGTCATGGAATGAGAGCAATCATTCTGATGCCTGCCGGACTGTGGAAACGGCCTCCAATTAATGCCGATTGGCATATTCCATTTGCTCTTTATCAATGTAGGGGCCTTCCGTCTCTACGATGTGGACAATGATGGCTACATAACGCGCGAGGAAATGTACAACATTGTGGATGCAATCTATCAGATGGTGGTAAATACGATTCCCCCTCCATTTATTCATTCCATTTTGGTTTGGTTTTAACCCAGCTTCTTTCATCTGTTGGTATTGTTGGTAATTGAGAAATTTGATGGTATTATTTATGTAGGGCCAGCAGCCGCAGTCGGAGGATGAAAACACGCCGCAGAAGCGAGTGGACAAGATATTCGATCAGATGGATAAGAATCATGATGGAAAATTAACATTAGAAGAATTTCGTGAGGGTAGTAAAGCTGATCCACGTATAGTTCAGGCGTTAAGTTTAGGTGGTGGTTAAACAAATCAATAGTAACGCGCAATAACTACTCTAACAACAACAACAACAAAACAGAGAAAAACGCAGCTAAAAGTTTCTTGACATAAACAAAAAACAACTTCAAATAATGAAAAACACCGCTTCTGGTTTTTGGTTACCATTATACACTCTTCCACAGAGAACTAAAACAAATATATATATATATATATATACATAAATCAATGGATTACTAAAAATACGAAATCTTTAAAGCAATCAGAAATCAGACTTGCCCAAATCTTGCAAAAAATTAAAAAAAAAAAAACAAAAAACAAAAATAAAGAAAGAAAAGAACAAATTTTTTTTCTCGATTTCGCGCGTCGATTAACATTCAAAATGATAATAATTTTTTGATATATAAGAGTACGAAAACAAAATTATGAAAATGCAATTAGAAAAAAATATATATGTATATATTTAAACATATATATATGTATTTACAAATATATGTATGTGCATATGTATGCATACATACATATGCGTACTTACAAGATATGGCTAAAATCGAAATCGTGGCGTAAGTAGAACGCAGTTCATAGCGATAAAAACTTAAAGTAAATAAAAAAAAAATGAAGAAAAAAATACCAAATTAATTGAATTACAAATGCGAGTAACGTAAATCAATTTTTGAGCATACACCAATTATTAGTAAACAACATAAAAACCATTAAAAATATAAAAGAATTCAAGAAAAAACAACAACAATCACACAAGAAAACGAAATGCAAACGATAGCAGCCTTCGAGACATTTATAAAGATTAATGAAAATTAATATAAAATATTTAAAAGTAATTGTTGATATACGAAAGCAAGAAACCAAATGGATTAAACTTAATACTATAAATACTTATGCATATATATATATATTTATATATATATGCAGCGATACGAGCAACAGCAGCAGCAGCAGCAGCAACAACAACAATAAGAAACACAGCAAACGTAATTAATTAATTAATTAACAAAACCAGGCATTAATCAATGACAAGTGCAAAAGCCGCGCAAAACTGAACGTAATTTTTTCAATTAGGCATTACCTATACACACACCATACACACACACACACACACCACACACAAACACACACACATAGTCACGCACAAGAGATGGGAGCGCAATAAATCGAACGCAATTGTGCTTTATTTGCTTTTTGGAAATTGAACTTTTTGATTTGCGCTTTTATACCTAAGTTAACGTAAATTTGACAATATACGCCACAAATAAAATATATACAGTTTTTTAAAAAAAAAAAAAAAAACAAATAAATAAATATAAAAAGTCAAATGGAAACTAAATAAGTTAACGCACATCTTAAACAAACCGAATAACAAATAAAAGCCGAGTAAACAGCAGCAGGAAAATGATACAACAACCACAGAATATGCTACAGAAACAACAACAGCAACAACAAGAACAACAACAACAACAATAGCAACAACTACAACTACAACAACAACAACAAGAACAAGAACAAGAACAACTACAACAATAGTCAGCTCTCTCTCACATCAATCTTTCTGTGTAACTAAAAGCCCCGTTTGAGAGCCCCAAAAACAGATCCATCATGCGATTTAATTTCTATTCTATATGCGGTTCAGCTTTATTATTGCATTGATTTAATAACCCAGTTAATATTTTATTACAATCTATTTATATATATTTATATACACATATATATATATCTATCTATATACTTGAATACATAGTTGCTACTTCTTATGGCTAATCATGCACTTCGACACACTCACCCCCCCACATACACACACAGACACAATTATATTATATACATAAACAGATTCACAGCAAAGCCCCGCAATGCGTACACAGTATATACAAATATATGTATGCCTATAATTATAGTGGGTCGACACATGCTTAAGCACTTAAAGCCCAACAATATGATCATAATCATATACCTATGCTCATATGCTCATATGCCATACCCATTATCACATATATATACATACATATACACACATATTATAGCATATACCATTTACCATATATTAAACTTTTGGTCATGGCTCACACGCATTCTTATTGTTTATTTTGCTACATTGTGGCCTTGACTTACAATTTGTCCGAACACTTCGAAATTTTTAATCGGCACCAGCATCGAATCTATATACATATATTTAAAAATATTTACATTATTCATTCTTATGTGCTTATCGGCATAAATAATCGTATAAACTTTTCTATGCAATTGCTGCAATATTTTCTTATTTCATTTATTTTTTCTTACAATTCTTTTCGACCTAGTAAAAGTGCACGCCAAACCAAGCAATTAGAAAACAAACAAAATATACCATAAATAAGAATGAAAGAAGAATTAGATGTATAAAAATATGAATAAAAAAACACTGTCGCCTAAATTCAAAAAGCTAAAAACTTAAATCAAAAAATAACTTAGATATACATATACACATATATACATATATAGTATATCCATATATATCTGTATACACATATATGTATATATATTTGTATGCATATATAATAGCTATATACCTACCTATATACTGACACACGCTAATATATATATATTACTTATAGTAAGCACAACAACAAAAAAACGCTTCTAAGAACCTCACTGAAATTCTTCGAAAAACAAGAAATAATTATATACTAACATTTAAATAAATACAATACACACACAACAAATACACGATTATATTAATGAAAACAACAAAAAAACAATGAATATAAAAACTTAATCAATAATTAAATAATTCGAAAGTGATATAGCTGACAAAAACAAATGTGTCTGTAGTTTAGTAGTTAAACGTAACAAAAATTGAGAAAAAAAAGAAATATATAAAAACTTAAAAAAATCAACAAATATATGAAAACGAAAGAAAACCTTATTTTCAATTTTTTTTCGAACACAAAGACGCATAAAATATTTATGAAAAAAGGTGTAAATATCACTTAAGAACATGAAGCCACGCAATCACCGTCACACACACGCTCACACATACTGACGAGAACATACACACACACACTCACACACACACATTGATAAACTGAAGCTTGGACAAGAACCTAGCCCAGAACTACAAAATAAGTTTGTTAACACCAAATATGACGGGTCTTAAGTAAACAGTAAGTAAGTTATTTTTTTTTGGCATCAAGCAAGGCATTAAAGTCAATTGTAATACAAAGAATGAGTAAAACATAGTTGCCATACGAAATAAAAAACAAATAAAGAAAATACTCATAAAAAGTAAATAGAGAAAAATAAAAAAAAAAAAAACGTACTTAATAATAATTTTGCAATGCGCGGACTCATATTTCAGCCGCCGTTGAGAACACACGAATGTCAAGTTAAACGTTTCACAAGCAATATTTTACAACATTTATATATATGTATATATATACATACATATGGGGAATGATAATTATATACATATAAATATACAAGCAAGCATAAGCAAATAATATACATACATAGATACGAGCTCTTAAAGTGGACATCACGATTGGCATATTAAGCAAATTTAATAAAAATCAAATATTGTAATAAATTGTTTTTTGTGCAATGTCTGAGCAAAGCAACATTTACATTAAACAATAACAAAACAAGTATATTATATAAAAAATTAAATAAAGGGAAGGCGAAGACGAAGTCGAAGAATTAAAAAAACACATACAACACATTTTGAAATATACTCTTTAGCAAAAATTGAATCTGATTTCTTTGCTAAAACAAAACGTTAAGAATACAAAACTAGAAATTTAATTAAACAAACGATACCAAATAAAAAACAATTGCAGAGAAGATGAAAAACGAAAAAGAAAAAAACAATAAAACGATTCCCCTTTCGTTTTAATTTCACTTTTTTGTATAACTATTTACTGTTATTTATTATTACAAAGATGATCTTGACGATTATTATGTATACACATACTTATATACATACTAACTTATAAACCACAACAATGGAAAAACAAAAAATAATGCAAATTCTTTTACCATATTTTTTTTTTAAGTAAAGAAGGAGAAAACAAAAACAAACAAAATCCAAACGAAAGGAGAAAATTTATCTTGTTACTGTCAGAAATATTACTTACTTCAAATAAACATTTTAAAATGATATGCCAAATTGGTGTCGAGTACTTTTTAACAGTCTTACAGTGATTAACTTAAGTGCCCCAGCCATTAAGTCCATAAAAAATGCATAAAAGGTAAGTCCAACTAACAAAACTCATAACCCCATCCCCAACCTCCACCCTTACCTTTGCATTTTGCCATTTTGCCACAAATAGTAAGCACTTACCACAAAAGACCGCTGCGAAATGAACAGCTGCATTGGGGGCCACTTACAGGCTAAGTCCTGGCCCCCCACCTAGCTAACCATCTGGCGTATTATAAATCTTTTAATAGTTACGTCAGGCAAACCAACTTTCATCAGTTCTGTGGCTATCTGAGCGATTCGTTCGACGGCAATTATGGGCAATAAAATAGAAGCGTGCATTTCGTGCGCACTTCGCTTGCGTTGCGAATTAACCCGGTCGCGAAACTCAGGTAAATAATTAAAATATTGCTTAAGTCAAAACTAGTTTAATCAGGTGTTTTTTCAAAACATACCAAAGACTAATAAGCTTAAAGGCGAACAGAATAATCAAATCTACTTAAAAACACAAAGTTCGATTTCGGGTTTGTTGGCAGTGCTCTCAACGTGTTGAAATTCACAACTAGTTTAAGCTTTGATCGATTGACAAGGCGTGCGTATAGTGTGTATGTGTTGGAATCAATAGCAAAGATTTTAGATGATAGAATCGAGAGGTTCTTCATAAAGCTACAAATGTTGGTAATAGAAAAAGCCACTTAAAAAACATTTGCTTAACACTTAAAGAGTTAACTTAAAGCGGTTGAGAATTATAACAACAATTCGCATACTAAAAGATTTAAGAACTTTAGATATAAAACATGCGTATGCTATTCATATATAATTACTTGATTTAAAAGTTAATTAATTTGAATTGTTTGAAATATGCTTATATAGGGCTTACTACTTAGAAGGGAATAATAGTAGATTAGAAGATTGTACTATTTTTATTTGAAAGAATCATGTGGGAGTATTACAAGTTACACTTGGGCTTGTGTTACAAGGAAACCGAGGTAGTTGAGACGGAAGTCCGAGTCCAGGCTCGTGCGTGATAATAATGTGCGTGTAATATGTCCTTGTAACTATAGTTTATACTAATAACTGCTATTATCATAATAATTACACAACTGTAAACTGGTATTAAACTGGCCTACAGCTGTGCTAGTTTGTATGCGATTCACATTCGCAATTTGAAAAAGTTTTCTTGTTGCATTCATATATTGAAAGCTGTAAAATAAGAAGGAACATAATGTTATATATACCCGAATGCAAGTATTAGAAGGCTTGTATCATTGTTACTAAATAATATACTCGACTGGTTAAATTGCGTTTCAACTGCAATAACACGTAATTAAATTGTACTTACATTCGACTTATTGTGCCTCGAACCATTCCGAGTCCTTGGTAATGACTTAAATAGGCATTACAGGATAATCAGTTGGAAATCTTCTCTAATAAACTATTCAGCACAAACATACTCTTAGCCTATAAATGCTTTTGTACTCTGCTGCTGGGAGTGCGCACTCGTTCGGTGGAAAAGAAAATGTAATTATATTTAGGAATCATAAATTGTCAATCACATAATGTGGCCAAGGCTTTGGCTTTAGAATGCGATAAGCTCATTAATTTCTAGCACTTTGCGGTAGTTTTTGTGCCAAAAGGAAATTAAACGAACGTCTAGAGTGCGGACTTCTGTCATTTGTGGTTAGTGGGCGTTTGGCACTCCATTCAGTCCGTTTGGCACATTCAGAGTTCATTCAGCACATTTAGTCCATTCGGTGGACGGTCATTAAAACGGCTTGTGTTTGTGGTTTTCGGAGTTGATTTGATTATGCTTTGGGTTTTGCATATTTTTAGCTCACATCGTCCAGTCGGGGTTGGGATCGATTCGGCTGGTATGCAATGTATAGAATGCCCCTCAATGTGAGTGCGTGTGACAGAATGTTGACACTTGAATGCGGTCGGCCTGGGTGTGGGTGGTTTAATTACCGTTTGCTCTTGCGGTTTTAAATTTGGAGCTGCCAAATTGAGCATGAAATAATAATAGAATCGGGACGTCCGCATTTGGCATTGCGCAGGGACACATTGCACGTACGCGGCTGGGACCACGTGCATAATTAATAAATAAATACACTGCAACAAAAACCTGCTGCCAGATACTTACTAGCTGCCTGTCTGTGGTTGTGCGGGCATCGACGTACGGCGTCTGTTTATCTAGGCAGCCCAACTATTTATAATGGAAAGGCTGCCAAATAAAAATGAAAATAGCTTTGCATCGTTTTTCGTATTTGTACCTATAAAATTAGCTCTGTCGCTGGCAACGTCGCTGCCGTTGCCGCTGCTGCTGCTGCTGCTGCTGCGGCCAGCATTGAGCTAACAAGCAAATTAACGAATCAGATAAATGTAGCTACTATGCAAAACAATGCCACGTACATGAATTTCTCTAGATGAACAAATTCAAATTTAACAATTTTTCAGCATAGCATATCCCGCACTGCCTGCAAAGCACCTCATATGCCACCCACACCCAATAGCATGCCCAGCCAACCCCCACCCCCCATCCCCACCCCCAATGGCACCCGTGGCTATAACGCGCCCGATCAGTTCAGCTAAAACAAATAAACAATAATTGGCTGCGTTCAATTCCTCAGTATTTCGTGTATGCGTTCCGTTTATTGCCACCGCGACGCGCCGCTTCAGCCGCAGCTGCGTCGACGTCGCTTTTTCTGGCCAACAGCAGCAGCAGCAGCGGCAGCGGCGGTACCCAGAAACCAAGTCCGTATCCGCGTCTGCGTTCACGTTCGAATCCGCTTTGGTACGTCGATTGCGGCCCATTAAATGCGCCTCTTACGTACGCAATTCCCAATTTATTCTTTGCGCGTTTGAATTTTGGAAGCGCTACGCAAAAGTCGCTGGGTATACGGGCATAGACTATGTACCTGCTGCCATACATATGAGACTAAAAGATATGTACACTATATTGATGTTGTCTATTGGACTGAATCGGCACAACATTTGTTTATAAAACAAAAAAATTTAATAATTGAGAAAATATTAAAAATAATTTCTATACCCGGAACCCATGGAATGGGGGTATTTCCTTTAAAAACGTAACCGAAAGGTAAAAACCTTAAGAAAGGCGTCAATTTAACTAGCTATAGCAGCTATGACCTTCATATGAGTCGATCATTTAATGTGTGCTTATAATCTAAATATTGCATTTGTTTTATTTATAGTAATGTGTTATGTATTTAGGTACATGTATCTAATATGTGTATATATGTATATTTTATGCATACTTATTTTGCAACTGTGCACATAATTAAATAGCTTAAATTTGTTTGTACAATTGAGATCTGTATTTATTCTAGAATTTTACATTTATTTACACTGTTTAGATTTCGGATCTTCCTGTTTGAAAATTTCCGTTCCTATGATGGGTAATGCGAGGCAAAGTTTTGGTATATTGTAAGCGGAATATTGCTTAGGCAAAGAGATCAATTTTTTAATATATTGGGATCAAGGTTGTGTTTATGGGTTAGGTTTGTGTGTCCACAGAGGAAGCAGTATTTGCTGTTCCAATCCAATCCGTTTGTTTTGCTTTGAGAGGTTAATTGAAAAATTCAGGGGCTGTGTATCGATTTTTATTTCAGGTGTTTAAGTCTGTTATTGAATTGAATAATTTTGTTGTCTTGGTTTGTATAAAGTTTTCTTTTCATACCCTGCATTTGTTTGGACAAATCTATTATATATAAGAGGTAGAATAAAGCATACACTCTTATACACTTAGTACATACTTGATCAGGAGGATAAGCTGAGTCGATCTAGCCCTGCCCGTCTGTCTGTCCGTCTGTGTAAACGGTCTCGAAAGCTACAAAAGTTAGAGACTTGAAATTTGAACAATATATTTTGCCCCATATGGCAGTTTCGATCATAATCGATTTTGAAACATCGTTTTCTAAGTACTACTCAAATTTTTTAAGGTTTTTGATATCTTCCCCATTTGCTCAAAAACTGATCAAAATCGTTTTTAAAGCTAGCATCTTTTTCTCTACATACATTTAGGTGCCATGTTCGCGCCTTGAGAATTTAATAAAGATGGGACTGTAAACACCAATGTTTTTTAAGAATACATTTTCCATTCCGTGGAGTTAAGGGAAGAAGCACAGCAGCTGCATAAAAAACGGCATGCGTGTGTGTCAATGTCTGGGTGTGTGTTTTTCTTTATGTAACATATGTGAAAAAGGTAGCTAAGTAGCATGCTTGTAAAGGTAGCTCGGCTATCTCGAATTCAGGGTATCTTCTATTCAGACTTTATACGTTAATTTTTATAAATATTATATTGCTGCATATGCCTGCAATGTGGCTATGAGCAGGACATTAAGGCTCTATAATTTATATAATATATAATTTAGCTATTAACCTTGAGTTTAAGCAATTCTTTCTTAAATAACAGTTTACTTTTTTTTATTTTTCCCTTTATTAAAATAATGATTAATATAATGTATTATAATTTAAATTAAGGTAAAGCTGCAAAGCTGCTAGCATTTATAAACCAATATATAATAAAATAATAATATATAAATAAATAAATATTTATTTGGTTTTACCCTATCCTCAAAATCTGACTAAAATATAGTGTGACTTCTTAGAGTATTCGACCTAATCTTTGACTCCAATTTTCCACCACGGCGAAGAGTGTGATTTCTCAATGATTTTTCAGAATGATCTTTTCAAATTCGTGAATTTTCCACAACTGCTTGTGGAATTTTCCGTCCTAGCTTGTAGCTAAATCACAGATTTAGCATCATTAAGTTCACTACAAAGAAAATCCCAGTTTCTAAGCGCTTACGCTTTAGTGAGCACAGGCACAGGCCACCTGTTGTCGGGTAGCGGCTACAGAATTCGTCGAAGTGCCAGGCGAAGGGGTTTTTATGGCAAACAAATTTGCGCTTTGCTGTATCTGTTGCGCTTGATTGTTTATTTGTAGTTGTGCCTTTTGTTTTTAATGCTCCGACAATGGGCGTCTCGTACGGTTTTAATTATTTACTATATTTAGGCAGCGAGCCCGATAGAAGCTAACGATGCTACATACAGACAATCATCGGGCATTGTTGCTGTAAGTTTGCCGCAATTAGTCAGCAACAGCAGCAGCAGCAGCAACAACAACAGCAGCAACAACTGTCGGCACCTGCACAAAAATGCAAAGTAAATTCTCAATTCTCGATTCTCAATTCTCAATCTACAATTTCTTATTGTAGTTCCGCCTACGTCGGCGCTGTAGCAGCTCTTCCGCTGCTGCTGCTGTTGTTGTTGCTGCTATTGCTGTTGCTGCTATTGCTGTTGCTGCTGTTGCTGCTGCTGTTGCTGCTGTCGACGCCGCTGCTGGCTGCCACCGGGCGGACTGGTTGGATTGGTGCCACTCGGCTGCCGTTTGCCATTCGCACAAGTTGCATGTTAGGCGCGTTTTTGGCTGCCTTCTCATTGTTATTTTATTTTCGGCTCGCGTGCGTTGTGCATATTTTAAAGTACTATTTTTTTTCCTTCATTATTTTTGTACTTTATTTTATATTGTACTTTTGGCCTCTCTCTCGCCAGAGTTGTTTAACTTAGTGCTGGCCGCCGTTGTTGGCGATCTTTTGTTTTAATTTATTTTATAAATTTTCTTCTTGTTTTTGGGTGTTTTATTTGTTTTTGTTTTGTGTGGTGCCGTGCAAATTTCTCAAAGTTCGTTCAGTTTTCCGCGCCTCGTCGCTTTTCTAATTAAATGTGCGCGCTAACCCGTTAAATGGTTTTTGGCCCGTTTATTTATTTAAGCCGCAACTCTGATAACTGTTGGCCGTAGGTTTCGAACTCTGAATTTTGTTTGTGCGCGGCTTTTGCGGTGTCTATACGAAAATTGCCAATAAATTAAATTGCGTCAGTTTAATTAGAATATTTATAATTGTTTCGTTTTCGACTGCTCAGGAAATAACAACAAGAACAGCCTTAAAAGCATTGACCGCAATTGCGTGTGGGCGTGGCAACCACAAGTGCATACAGGTTAGTAAATACGCTTTATAATTAGTCATTTACTGACGTCTGCCCTTTTTAATCGCACTCTCGCTCACTCTCTCACACGCCTCTTCTCCCACCCGGCCACAGGCAACGCGTGTGTGGATTATGTGGTATCAGCAATAACCCGCTTTACATGATTAAATGTTCCAGGTAGTTATCTTATATCATTCAACATATCATGGAATTAAGCCAATTTCTTAATCACTCATAATTTTAGCCTTGAGAGGGATTCAAAAGGGGGAGAGGGAGAGAGGGATTGAGTTTTAAAGACAGCGTTAAACTCAAAAGATTTAATCTGGCGAAGGGCGGCTAATATTCGCTAGTTAAATTATGCCGTACTAGCGGCTGTTACCCGGCTTTGTCCGGGCCAATTGGTCACTCTTCTACTTGATTTCCGCTTCGTGGCAAATTTAAATGCACACGTACTACCTTAAGCCTCGTCTTCCATTCCTTTTCAATGTCTATGCAGAAACAAATTTGCTTTTATTTTAGTTCAACGTCTTAAATTATAATGTCTGTTTTCTCAACCGTGCTGGGCATTCTATCTTATGGAATAAATTTCTTTACTTGCATTTGGGGGGATCAAAAACGAGTTAAGTTTAATTTCAATAATTTAAAATTTGCATGTACACCTGTTTATATATATATATATATATATATATCAGTTTGGTTTGCCATGGCTGCATTGCTTGAAGTAGGCCTATTATTATTTGATGAGCTGTGGCGAATATAGTTTTAGAGTCCACAGTCCGCTGAATGCTTGTATTTGGGCTGAATTAACGCGGCGAGCTCTTTTCAATACCAGAAATATTTTCAGCTTCGATGCGGATATTCTGATCAAGTGGCGCATAGTTAGAGCTCAGCTATCTTGATACGAAAACGAGGGATATAGAAATATATACAATTGAACATATGTTGATAGCCGGCATCAATTTACTGGCCGCTTGTTGTGCGGCTCACAATAAGATAATATGATGCTGAACGGGAGTGAATGAACATTACGGAAGGAACTCTGCAAAGTTCGGAAAACACGTTAATTTTGAACGGATGGGGACTTAGACTGATGACGTTTCCGCCGGCTGCGCGGCACTGCATTTGCCTCGGGCAGCTGACCCAGCAGCAGAAAATCAATTGCCAGACGCCATTTGGCAGCTGCAGGAGTTGGTTAATAGACTGGATGGGCTGGTGGTAAGGCATGCTTACCTGCACCCTCCACGGCAAGCAGGAACCACGATAACGAGGCCACAAAGCGCATAAAGTAGAAAGCATCGTTAATCAGCCAAGTGGAAAGTCCGGGACAGTAATGGAAAATGAATTTTGCCCACGCCCACTTGGAATGGCCCAGCGCATGCAGCGCCTGATCGAATATGTTAAAAAATGGCTGCCATATGGAAAGCAGCACATAATCCACCACAAAGAGCATTACAAACAGCTCAAGCAGCAGCAGGAGCTTCCGCACCACTGGCGCGTACCGCTTTAGCCGCTGCGGTCGGTACTGGGCCAAGGTTAGCAGCAGGCCGTTGGCAAAGAATATGGTCGACCAGTTGAGGGCCTGCGGCTCGGGCAGCTCATCGGGCAGCTTCTTGGCATTTAGCATTCGTATCACATGCCACTGGTTCCACTGCAGCAGCAGATCCAGCGACAGCAACAGCATCGATTCGTAGAAGTCTCGCACCAGCTCCTCGGCTCGCATCTGCATTCTGCGCATGCGCAACTGTGTCATGGCACTTGAAGGGTTCCGTCGAATTTGGAATGAGGAATACGGAATGGGGAACTCGCAGTTTGGAGTACGCTATAGATGCTTTGTGTTTGTGGGAGTGTCGAAAGATTTTGTGTGATTTGTCGGAATATACAGAAATAAATACATTTGAGAGTTGAAAGTCAGACTTTAAGGCACTCTTGACGTCTCTGGCAGTGCCATTGTCCCCTCTGAACATCCACCCTTCGTATAAGGAACAAGAATAGTATTCGAAATTTTATAGGGTAAAAGATAGTCCGTGCCCAGCTCTGAATTGCTTTAATACATATTCTTTATATACACACAACAGCAGAGGAATTGAATGAGAGAAAGAGAGAGAGAGAGAGAGAGAGAGAGAGAGAGAGAGAGAGAAAGAGAGAGAGAGAGAGAGAGAGAGAGAGAGAGAGAGAGTGGGAGCGAGAGATTTCCACACAAATTATTAATTGAACACAATTCAAATAATTTAAGCCTGTGCGCCCTACACGAATTAATGAGAATTGCATAGAAGACCGTCATTTAAAACAGTGTGTGTTTTTTTTATGCCCTGAACCCATTGAAAATGGGTAAAGAGGGTATAATGTATTTTTGCAAATGTATGTAACAGGCAGAAGGAAGCATATTCGACCCCATAAAGTATATATATTCTTGATCAGCATCAATAGCCGAGTCGATCTAGAATTGTCTGTCTGTCCGTCTGTCCGTCTGTCCGTCCGTCCGTCCGTCTGTCCGTCTGTCCGTCCGTCCGTCCGTCCGTCCGTCCGTCCGTCCGTCCGTCCGTCCGTTCGTATGTATGAACGCAAGGATCTCAGAACCTATAAGAGCTAGATACTTGAAATTTTAGCTGTTCTCCTAGTCCCCGCGCAGATCGAGTTTGTTTCCGATATTCGATAACTTGCCCCGTTTTAAATTAATCGATAAAAATCGATATGGAAATCCTGTTTTTTGGGCATTTTCGGTAAATAATATGCGCTAAAGTCACCAAACTTGACATATAGATTATAGAATAGTATATATATATCAAGTATCTATCATTTTATACCTATCGCCTGTTGGAAGAAGAGGGTTCAGGGTATCCCCTAGTCGGGAGCTCCCGACTAGAACCTCTTACTTGTTTTTTGTTAATTTTGCGGCGCAGCGAAATGTAAGCTCGGGAAAAGCTTTTTGAATGCGTTTAGGGCCCATTTGAAGAAAATAAAACATTTGTCCGTATATTCTGGGAAAATATAAGGGATTTTCTCGGGGAAAGGATATGCCGAAGCCCGTACAAACTTAGAGAACTCTAGAACTCAAGCAAACGGATAGATTTGTCAATTTACGATTAGGGCTGTAATAATTGCCTATTATATATTTTATTTTGGACTGATCTCTTATTAAAGCCTTCTTTACGTTATTGGGAATGGAATGTAATAAATATTGCAACGTGAATATTTTTATTAAGAGTTTTAACTCAGTGACTTGGTGGTTTTTCCGCTTGCAAAACGTAGGAAAGATTACGCATGCATTTTGCACGCACGTGCTGGTTCAGCCCGCAGACTGGGAACTGGCCACGAAATCAATTTCTCTGTCAAATCAGCAGACTGAATGAATAGGGGGCGCCCATATTTGGCTCCACATTCTATGCCCGCCCCTTCCATGCTAAGCTGCCATAATACATTCTCATAGTAAAAGGAGCGGAAAGGACACCCTAATCCTCCCTCTTTAAGTCTGAAACTACAATTCCCGAGTTGCCTTTGGCTTTCTGGTTGTTTCAATCAAAGCAGCTGTTGTTATACCCTGTATTCACATGAGTTCACATGCGTTCCCACAGAAATCACATTTCATAAAACATATTACAAGCTACAGACTTATATCCCATTATATTTATTTATCAATTTGTATTGATAAGATTCTATAGCATCCGAATTACGAATAGGGTATCTGTTGGTCGTGCAGTCTCGCCTTGAGTATTCTAGCTTATTGTTATTGCTCTTGTTTTTCGCATTTTCTGCACAACAAAACAGTAGACCCCAAAGTCACCGGCGTCAAGTCAACAAAGCCTGCCACCGACTACAAAAATGTCCATGGCAACGGCTGCCGCTGCGGTCCCAAAAAAAGACGGTGCACCACACAAAAATTTACGAAGCATTAACCATTAAAACTTCTTTGATATTTATATTTCGCATATGCGAATTGCCAATTTTATTGTTCAATTTTTATTTAAGAATTGTATCTAATATAGTTATAGAAATAAGAGTCACCCGTTAAGATCTTTCATACATATATGAATTTTTCTTAACACTGGCACATGTAAATTTGGATATGATAAGAGTGAGTTTCAAGAGAGAAAACATAACTTTAGTATACTATTTTTATTAAATAAGAAAATAAAAATAAATTAAAAAAATGTATTAACTTAATCTCTGTCAGTTTAATTATGCATTCCTTTTATGCCAGTCTCATACTCTCCTCTTACCATGTTACCAATATTTCAAATTTATTTACTCAAAATGTTAATGTCAAATTAAAAATACTTAGAAGTATAAAAAAAAAACACTTTGATAAGAATTAAACTTATTGAGTTTATACGTAAAAACGCAGCTTAAATTGTGACGTAGCGTAGTTGTAGTTTGAAATCGACACATTTGTCGCCTGTCAATCGTCAGTTGTGCCGTTTAAGTGTGTGCGTGTGAGCTTCTGTGGTTGCCATTGAACCTATCCATTGCCTTCATCTTGGGTTCTGCATTTGGAGCTGGTCGTCGTCATATTGTGTTTGGCAAATCGTTTGCGATAAAGCCAACTACATAATGTCTCTGTGTAGGCCAGGGTGGGGGCGGTGTGTAAACGTGGTCGGGAGCATAAAAATGCTAAACCAGCGCTATGCTGGCGTCGCAACGACGCAAACACCCGACTCATATGTCCACATAGTAATGTGTGTGTGTTTGTACGAGTGTGCGTGTGAGGGGAGGAGACGGTTGGACGCAGTATAATGCGCGTTATCCTTGATTGCCTGCTTCGATAGCAGGATATGAGGCGGCTGCAAACAAGCCGCTCAACGTTTCGTTTTATTTTTATACCCTGTACCCATTGCAACTGGGCGAAGTAGGGTATAGCATTATCGATCCCGATAATATTATATATATTCTCGATTACCAATAATATGCGGGTTGTTGCAGCTTTGTTCGTTGCTCGTATCGATCTTAGAGACTATATTAACTAGATGTTTGAAATTTGGAAAGTAGGATCGAGTCACCGAAGTTCGCGCCGTTTTTATGCAGTTGGTATATATTTTTGACCATATCTTAGAGCTCTTACGAATTAAAAATTTAATATGGTGACTTCCATATGGATTATCCAGATTCGTATGATTTCTTTAAAAAAAAAAGTATATATAAGAGTTTTTCATAAATTTCGAATTTTTATGACGGCACAGGGTATTTCCTAGTCGAGCGCCACCGGCCAGAGCATTTATACCTTTTTTTTTAGTGTGACAATCGTGATTTTGCTCTCTTTTTTGTTTGGGTCTCTTGTTTCTTTTTCTTGGCCTTTGGCCTGTCTGCTTTGTGCTGCTCTTGTGCTCATCATCATTTGCCAAAAGGGCAAGCAAAGAACTCATTGGGATTTGATTGGTGTAACACACGGCTTACAAGTTGCCAACTTGCCAAGACTTACCAAGTTGCTGACCTGTTCCTTCCCGGGGCTAATTGATTTCAGAACTGCAGACTGTCAATGATGTTCGGCCAGGAGGCAACACTGTGGACATTCCCAACTAAACAGCTAAGCAACAATTTTTAATTGTACCCGGGCTAAGTTGCCGTCATCGTCGCCATCATCATTGGTGAGGCTGGAGCCAAAGGCAAATGAGCGAGCGCCCCGAGAAATATGAACGAGGTCAATGATTGTTTACACTACACTCGAATGCTGTTTACTCGGAGCCATCCAGCGAACTAGGCAAATAGCTAGGGATTGGGTGAGACGGCGAGACGGCAATAGGGGGCGACAGGGCGACTGGGGCACCGGATGACTGGAAAAACAGAGGCTGACTATGGGCGTATGGGCGCGTAAATGCCGCCACTAGACACCTTCCAGAGCTACGGCCTCTGGCTTGGCGAAGGGCCCCCACCTTTGGTTAGGGCCACTTGGCTCACATGTTGTTAACTACCTCTCGCTGACATGCCCAGCAGCACGTGTGTGTGTGTGTGTGTGTGTGTGTGTACACACGTATCATAAACATAAATATGTGCTTATATAGATTTAGCTCTTGCAACAATCACCCACCACGACACGGCTTTAAATAAGTAGCCTGATTACTCCACAATTGACTGGATCCGGTGTCATCTGGTCATTAAAAGGTCACAAGCTGTTTTATGTATGCCTCACAATGTTTGAAAGACTCGCTGGCTAAAGAATGGGATCTTCGGTGTTAGTTGCAATGGCAGAAATAACACGTGTAATGAAAATTTTAAGGTTCTCTTGGGTTCTTTATACCCCGTACCTATTGAGAATGGGTACAACGGGTATATTAGTTTCGTGCTAGTGTCCTGTAAACTATTTATATTCGGAGTTAGACAAACTAGGAACTTATAAGATATAAAGAGAATATTCATATGTACTCCTTATACCATAAAACAGTTCAAAATAAGTAAATAATTTGTTCGATAAAATTTTTTTATTTCCGGGATATCGGTAAATATCAATTTTGATACTTAGTTTATAACGCATAACTCGAAGCTTATCTTTTTTTGAAAAGTAGACCCCTGCGCTTTGGGATATGCATACAAATGAGTGCTTTTATTCTTCCGAATAATATTCTTTTCCCTCGGAGCAAGCTTCTGCTTTGTCTTCGTCAAAGTGAGGCAGAGGTTCAATAGTTTGGCATATGTCTGGCTGTCAAGATTTATTTAAATGTGCTCCCAATCGTTGCAAACAAGATTCTGCACGTGGTTCGCCGTCCGCCATATCAATCAAAAAAAACAAAGGTCGCTTGGGTGCAAAGTTGAACGCAGGTCTCGAAGTCCACAAATGCGTGCTGCAACGTTGATGGGTCATTGTAATTGGGGGCGTGACAATTGATGACAATTGTGACTGTAATGAAACAAAGAAGCAGCTGGCAAATGGCGCAGTCCTTTTGCGCTTTGTCTATCCCGAATATTATGTATACGCCACGGCAAACGTTCCACG